TCAATGACATATAAATTGAAATTAAAAAAATTACATATTTTATTTTAAAATCACGTAATAGTACTATAAGGTATAATAATTAACAACTTAACATATTTTAAAATTTTAGTTCACTCTCCAAATTCCATATGTCTCATGTAATTGAGACATAGAAAAACATATATTGGTTTAAAATTAATAAAAATATTATAAATTAACAACTTAAAATTTATAAAAAATATCCTTTAAAAAAATTTAGTTGGCTCTCCAAATTCAATCGGTATTACAATAATTAAAACATAGAAATTAACATAGATTGGACTCCTGCTAACATTTATGTTTCCTTTTTAAAAAAAATTTCTTTTATACTTTATATAAATAATTTTTTTATGTAAAAAGTATTATAAATCATAATAATTAATAGCTTAAAATATTTGAAAACATATAAAAAGTTTTTGTTGACTTTCAAAATTTCATCTATACCACATAAATTGGGAGAAATATAGATATATAGATATTTTAAGTTACTAATGATTGTGAGTTATAGTACGTTTTATGTCATTTTCATATATATTACACGCTTTGTCCTGATTTATGTGATACAAATGAAATTTCAAAAGTCAATGAATTTTATATATATATATATATATTTATTTTTTTTTAAATTAACTTGTTATTGTGATTTATAATATATTTACGTAAAACATACTCTAAATAAAAATAATTAACAACTTAAAATATATAAAAACATACTAAAAAATTGATTAACTTCAAAGTTCATATGTACCACATAAATTAAAACAGAAACAGTAACATATATTGGGCCCCGTGCTGGCACGGGGTCCTATATCTAGTATATATATAGAAGATAGATAATGTCAATTGTCGGTGTATGTTGTGCCTCATTATGTACTGTAGCAACAAACATTGTTCGTTTTGTCATTTTCCTGACAAGTCCACAACAACCAAACTAGCTACATGCTCATTTAGCTCCTCTAATAATTCCCCATCTCCTTAAACAACCACGCTACTCTCATGAATCACTCATTTAGCCCATGTCATAGCCTCTCTATCTCGACAAAGATAGAGATTAGATCTGCATACATACTATCATCTTCAGATTACGTTGAGTATGTTGTTGACAAACAAGCAACAAGACAGTAGTTTTTTTTTTTTTGCAATAAAGATGAATAATCGCATTGATTAACAATTAAAAGCTACGTTCATTATATAAAAATATATTAATAAATGACATAATTCTTTTAGTTAAATGCTTAAATGTATTTATTTTTGGTATATCTCACAGCAAGATTATAATTTTTTTTATAAATAATTAAGAAAACAAAATAAATACATGGATTATTGCTTTGTGCCGAAAAGAATAGTGCAAGTGTCAGATCAGATAACATGTCGGATTACACACACACCGCAATATATAGGAAATTAGTGAGTGGTGAGTTTATCCCATATATGAGAACGACAAAACGTTTTAGGGGCAGATCTACGGCGCTTAGGTTCGTGAATTTACTGTGATTTCAATAATTTTTATGTAAATATTATATTATTACATAGGATCAAACGACTAATTATATTATATGTATAATATCAAAATTAAAATTTTAATATAAACTCCTCGACTTCTTTTATATATATATTTTAAAATTTTATAAAAATTTGAACTCTGTCACTAATTGATTGGTTGATTGTGGAGCATCTTATCATCGATAGCATGCAAAATGTCATATCAAGCGATATCCATCGGATAGCATGTCCCATTATAATTTTAAGTAATTTGCGACTGGTGAAAGGAAAAAAGAATGTGCTACTGTTGATTTTAGAGTTAATATCTCAAAATGTCATTCAACTTTGAGAATTTATCTAGCAAAGTCATTGAACTTTATTTTGTATCAATAAAATCACTAAACTTAGATATTTCTATCAATAAAACCACTCAATCAAATTTATTATTAAATAAAATATTGACATAGCAAAATAAATTACTTGTATATTTTTATATCAGGTAAACACGAACTCACAAATAGATAAAATTAAAGAAAACTTATTAAAAAAATTCGGACAGACTTAATCACGGAAACAAATATTTTTTTATGATATTGTTGTATAGTTTATGTCTTGATTTAATAAATAAATGAAAAAAAATTCTTGGTGAAACATATTTGGTATTACTGTAATACCATAATATTTAGTTTGCCTCCTTAATAAATAAAAAATGAGTACAAGTACTTCAGCAAAACAACAAATTAAATCCAAAACGGGAAGAAAAACAATAAACAAATGTCAAAATAGAACAGGTAAGTATTATTACTAATTAAGTTCTTCAACGTGTAATTTATTTAGATGTTTCTTGCTATATATAATAGGTATAGATCTACTTTTCCTTCGTTTTCCACTGTTTGCTAATGTTAGATTTGTTTGAGCTTGAATAAATTAGTTTTCAAAATTGTTGATAAATAAGGTTTGAAATTTGAAATCGTTTTCGGACATACATTTTAGTTGTTTTTCTTTAAAAAAAATGTGAGAGGAAGTGAAAAGTTCTTAATGAGATTTCTTTAATTTTATTTATTTGTGGGATTCATATTTACATGATATAAAAATAAAAATTTATTTTGCTATGCCAATACTTTTTTTAGTGATAAATTTGATTGAGTGATTTTATTGATAGAAATGTCTAAGTTTAGTGATTTTAATGATACAAAAGAAAGTTCAATGACTCTAATAGATAAATTCTGAAAGTTGAGTGACATTTTGAGATATTAATTCCATTTAAAGAGAACGACAAAACGTTTTTACAAAGAATATATATATATAGTTGAATTTATGGAGTAAAGAAGGTACCCTTTCAATTTTATTGCTACTCAGATGTTAATATTGAAAAGTTTTTTGAGTGGTAAACTTAATTTCGTACATAAATTATCGTATGTTTAATTTAAACATAAGTTTTGAAATTAACAATAAGCAGCTGATTGAAAAAGGCACATATACAATTTTTTTGGTTAAAACAAATTAAAAATTATACCATCTTTATCAGGGAAGGCCGAGCAAGGAATTTTTGCCTCGGGAAGCGTTCCTCATAATTATAAACGATCGAGTTAAAATAAAAATAAATTAGAAAATCATAAGGTAGGGCTGTTATTCCATTACCAATGTTATTTATTACAAGAAGTTCATTTTATAGTTAATAATTTAATTTTTATTTTACTGTACCAAAATAACTAAATCACTATTTGCAATATAAAATCCTTCACCTTACTCACATCTCACAAAAAAATCATAAAAGTATTTTTTGCAACAACACTACAGTTCACAGCGTTGCTGAACATTTTTTCCCTAATCAAAGTCATTTAGCTTTAATTCATTTAAATACCATATAACACATTAACATGTCTCTTGCAATTCCTCTTCTTAACTGTTCGTGCGATTTTAAATTTGCATTTATTTATAAAAGTTATTTAAAAAATTCAACTTCAACTTTAATCTCAAATTCTTTTTTAAAAAATGGAATTTCAAATTGTCATTTTAATTTTTTAAAATCTAAAACTTAACTCATAAAATTATATTTTTGAAAGAGACTCATGACTCACGTGGATGAATTTGTTAAGGAATAGCTAGATACAACTATTATTGATTTATTAAATTCATAAAAAATTGTAAAATTATGTGTAATTAAAAGTTTGTAATAAAATATAATCACAAATATTTATTTATTAAATGAACATAAAGACATACAATTTATTAATTCGGCGCATCTTATGATATTTTGAAGTATAATTTACATAAATCACATAGTGTCAAGAGCTAATTACATTATTTATGAACTGTAATTTGCTTATTCAATAAAATTATATAAGAGTTGGATTTTTTTTTTATAGTTTTCTCAAATTTATGAGGCTTTTAGTGAAATACAACATGAAAAAATCAAATTCTGTCCAAATAAAAATCAACTTCAATCAATCCAATTATTTGAAATCATGCTAGAACCCGTTTGGTTTTAATTTTTTTTTAAAAAAACAATTTTAAAAAAGTCAAACTTTAGTAACTTTTAAGTTAAAAAGTAATTTTTGACTTTTTAATATTTGTTTAAGTCATTTAAAATTTATTTTAAGTTATTTTAAACTTTGTCAACTCTCTCAAAAGCTAAAAATGACTTGAAAGTATATTTGACCAATTTTTAAATCAATTCAAATCAACTCTTAGACCTTAATAGCTAGTAGGTCTTTATCCCTATGATTTTGGCCCTTAATTTGCGCTACCATTAATAATTAAATAGATATTTAAAGATAAAATTTTATCTAGATTTTAGTTGAATAGTTTTTTCTTACAATATATTATTTAATGACTTTAATATAATGAAGTACTCAATAATTGAGTGACTTTATCTGTAAGTTCAATTCTTTTTATAGGAAGTTGGTAAAACTTACATAAAGAAATTATAAATAAAAATCTTTATAAAAGTAATTTTTTTAATTCAACTTTTAAAAATATTTTTTGTCACAATTTAAATATCTTACTTTAATTAATTAGATATTAAGTTTAAAATAAAAAGAGAGATTTTTTGAATCTCAAAAAAAAATTAATTTAAAAAATATATAATATTTATGTTTGTAATCTTAAACTTTTTGACTAAATATTAAAATTTTAAAACTTACCAAATATAAAAGATACACTTTCCTCTTTTTATTTAACAGTTAAAATACAAATACTACTTGATTTGACAGGGAGGAGGAAATTAAACATAGTGGCATCTTTTGTCGTATGCATCCAAAAGACATAGTGATAAGATAGTGTATCAACTTATAAAATTTAATTTACCCCAAACTTTGGAAACAGAATACACTACTAAAATTAATTTTGCTACTATATATCCCAAGGCAACAAGCACAACACAAATAAAAAAAAAGTATATACATAATTAGTACTACTAGTATATATCCAAGTTGTCCTAGAGAAACTAAAAAGAGAGGATATATAAAGAGGTAGCTGAGTTAATAATTAATGCAGCAATGGAGAAATCAGTCCAGACGTTTGTAAATGAAGCACCACCAAATCATCTCCACTCTTCTACCAACACCAACAACAATGGCGGTTGGATTTCATTTCCCTTCATCATAGGTCTTCTTTCTTCCCTCATCTATCTGAATGAAAAATTATACTGTATATATAAGATTAACTTTTTTTGTGTTTATTTTTTTTATATATTTAAATTATTATTATATATATAGTGAAAATTCTGATTCTGCGCGCTGACGGTGGTGTTGAAATTTGATTAGGGAGTATGGCAGGATTATCATTGGCAGCAGCAGGATGGAATAACAACTTAATAGTGTATTTGATAGAAGAATTCAATATGAATAGTGTGAGTGCTGCTAAAGTGTACAACATGGCTAATGGGTGCAGCACTATTTTTCCTATTTTGGGGGCTGTCGTCGCTGATTCTTTTCTCGGCTGTTTCTCCGTCATATGGATTTCTTCTTTCATCTCTTTGCTGGTAACGACTTTCTCCTCTCTCTTTTTTTCGTTTGTGAAATTCATTCGTGTGTTTGTTTCAATTTGCTTGACTTATTTTAATTTGATATAAAATTTTAATCTTTTTTTAATTTTATCATATTAAATTAACAATATATCAAATGTATAAAAATATCTACTAAATTAAAAAATTACTAATATGTGAAAAAGTATATTTTTGTAAAACGGAAGTTGAAACAATGAAGTATTTGTCATTTCATTTCCCAAGAAATAGGTAGCTTCTATTTTATGTTATGATCGGTTCTGTGGGAAGTCGGCTTATTGATTTTGAATTTTACTATTTTCACCGTTTTAATTTAGTTGACAGTGACGTGATATTAGATTTTTTAAAAAAAGGAATATTTTTTAAATTTGTGGTTTAAATTTTTTCATTTTGTACATAATTATAAATTATTTATTTATAATAAAAACATAATTTTTAGAATTAAATTATTTTTTAATTATAAAAGAGTTTTTTTTAAAAGAAAAATTGAACATATTAAAAAAGGAATGTTACGTATATTGGGACAGCGGTGGGACAGAGGGAATACTTAGTTTTGGGGATTTTATTTAGTTATATATGAATCGGCTGTGTAAATATTTGTTATACGGTTAGGTATATTTATTAAGGTGATTATAAGTAAATTAATTCGTAATGGTGACTGACACATTCCGTCTTAATTTAGGTAGTAGGATTTGATTAGAGTCTTGGACACAGAATTTAAGAGATACAAATTAGTTAAAATTTGTGATTTTAAAAGAAAATAGTTAAAAATAAAAACGAAGGAAAAAACTAATCTATTATTGCAAATTAAAATCAAATTCTATTTTTTTTTTTTAAAATCGTGTGGTAGTTTTGATGCCAAAAGACGTCAGTTCATGAGTAACAGAAAGCCACTATTATCTCTCATCATTATATTGCTAAGATAGTTGTTTACTTATGAGCCGCAAATGTGGACAATTCTTTAATTTTGTGAGTAAAATTTGTTAAAAATATTTAGTTATAATTTGTTTTGATTGAACATTTGAATATATGTAATGTATTTTTATCAAGTTATTAAAAAGAAATCGCCCATGTTCTCAAATGTAACACCATAGCATAGACAAGTTTATCATTTGTTATATTTTAAATTAAATTAATAACTCGTAAAATTTCATATATATTTCAATTAATATTGATAAATAATTAAAAGGAGATATATTTTTGGCTATTAACTCATTTCCGTAATGGTTGTTTGTGAAGATTCACAATTTTTTTGGTTCAAAATAGGAGTCAAAATTTTTCGATAGAAGCAATTTAACATGTATTCAGACAGTTAGTCGAAATACATTACATATAATTTGAATTTTCTATATACATTTTTTTTTAGTAAATCTAAAAAAATTGACATATTTTTTATTTGACATATATTTGATAACATTTACTCATATTGATTCACATTTATTCAGAAAAAAAAGCTCATAGAGATGTAATATTCTATTTAAATATTAATATTGTAGATAAACTTAAGTTCCTGGTGGAATTTTAATTTATTTTTGCACCACATATTCATAAGAAAGAGACTGTCTGGAGTAGCCTCTTTTCACTCAACATGCGCCACGTCATCATTTATTTTTCTCTGACTCATACTTCCTTTGTTTGCGGCTTTTTAGGCCATTGCTATGTAAGTTAGAGTATTTCTCACTTATTATTAATTAATAATAATGCTTTCCAACAGAGTTATCCATCTTTTTTTTCGCTTAGATGAGGGCTGGCCCTACATGAGTAGCACAATATCCATGTTGATGTGTATATATATGGAGTAGAGCAATTTGTTACAACAAAAACTGACACAAAATTCAACAGAAAAATGATTTCACGACCAATATTATTCAAGCACTTATACCTATCTTTAATAATAAATATATGACAAATTAGTACTACCACAATAATAATATTTCTCCTGTCGGACATACTTTATAGAATATGCACTAGCTTGGAGTTGGAACTTTTAGTCGGTCTCAAAATGTGAGTTCAATAAGCATATCGAATCAAATTAAAATAAATTGAGTTAATAAATTAACGAATCATTAATTTGATAGTTGGAATTTTACATGTGGTGAGTTGAGTTGGAACAAATTGAACCAATACTATAACTTTTATACCCGTCAAATTTTGTGAACAGTAGTTCTTCTATAGGTGCAAAGAAACATTAGTTTCGGCTAAGTCATGTTACTACATGCAGTGACGTAGCAGAATTTCTAGTAAGACGGTTCAAAATATTAAAAAATAAACATACAACATCTCTTAGATATACATAAAAACAATGTTAATCATATAATAGTACAATTTCCGCCTCAGAGATTTGGATGAACCCCTACGCCCAATCTGGCTCCACCCCGGACTACATAGAGATATGGCTTACTAGTTACTATACTGAAAGAATGGACATAGCAAAAGTTTAATGCACTGAACTGCCCTTTTTCAGTCATGGATATTTTAATTTCTGCAAAATATATCTTGCTCTGCATTAATTTCATAGAACTTTGTATAACAGGCTCAGCTCAACATCTTTTAATGAGTAGAATTTAGCGGGTTGTAGTAGGTTGCTTGCTTTATTACTGAGGAAATTGGCTGTATCGTAGTCGTTATACAAAATATAGCTTGTCAGAGCTTGTTTGCTTTATTTTTCTACTTATATATTATAAGCCATTACTTGTAGTTATCTTTAGACAGCCTGATCATGCATAGAAATTAAACTAATCTAATGTACAATATACTGTTTTGTTTTCTCAAATTGGCATGTAGGGAGTGTTGCTTCTCACCTTCACAGCAGTCATTGACACATTGAGACCTCCAAAATGCTTTGATGGTTCAAATGAGTGCAGAAATGCATCAACATTCCATCTTACAATCTTATATGCAGCTTTAGCTCTAGCATATTTGGGAAACGGAGGAACACGTTTCACCATTGGATCAATGGGAGCGAATCAATTTCATAAGCCAAATCATCAAGCGATTTTCTTCAATTGGTATACTTTTGCGCTCTACACATCTAATGTCATTGGTAGCACAGTCCTTTTGTATATTGAGGACAACGTTAGTTGGGTACTTGGGTTCGCCATCTGTGTCGCCTTCAACATACTTGGCTTGGCTATTTTCTTGTCTGGACGCTCTTTCTATCGCCATATTGAGGCACAACAAGAAAGCCCTTTCATGAGTTTGGCTCGAGTTGCCGTTGCTGCTATCAGGAAGCATAGAGAACCGTTGTCATTAGGAGGTGAAGATTATTATCATGGCATGACAAAACAGGACAGTGCAACAAGTGCTCATGACCTCACAAATCCTAGCAAATTCTTCAGGTATAACAACACTCTCCCTACACTAAATAATGGTTCAAAGTATATATAGTTTTCAGTAGCAGGGGAAATGGGGGAGGGCATTACAAGGCGGGGAATCGAACTAGGTGAAAGTTCAGATAGCCAACCAACTAAACTACTAGGATTCCCTCTTTGCATTTTCTTGAATTCCTTTATCAAAAAATTTAAATGCCCATCTCTAAATAGTCTGTTGCTAAGAATTTTTTTGTTAATAATACCTCATTAAATAGGATTAGTGGATTAGAGACCGTCAATACACCTAATTCCTGTTGTTTTAGGTGATTTATAGTCCAAACGTCGAAAAATGAATGTGTTGTGTGGTTTAATAGGTTCCTGAACAGAGCAGCTTTGATCACAGAAGGAGATAAGAAACCGGACAGAGTTGCTGCTGAGCCATGGAGACTATGTACAGTGCAACAAGTAGAAGATCTCAAAATCCTGATAAAGCTTTTTCCAATATGGACTACTGGTTTGCTTCTATGCACCCCACTAGTCATACAAACCAGTTTAGCAATCCTCCAGGCCCTGAAAATGGACCGGCATTTAGGATCGAATTTCAAAATCCCAGCTGGTTCTGTTATAGTCTTCACGATGATCTCCACGTGCATAACAATAACATTCATGGACCGAGTCCTATCCCCCTTGTTGACTAAACGCATCCGTACTTCTCTGACACCGCTCCAACTGGTTGGGATAGGACACGTGTTGACGGTCGTCAGCATGGTCCTATCCGCCCTGGTAGAGTCAAAGAGGATAAAATTGGACAAATCCCACCACCAAAATAGTGTTGTGGTGCCAATGTCAGTCTTCTGGCTGGCACCACAACTAGCTATTTCAGGTATCGGGCTAGCTTTTCATTCTCCAGGATACGTCGGATTTTATTACCAAGAGTTTCCAGGGTCGTTGAAAAGCACGTCTACCGCAGTTGTGGCGGTTTTTATGGGAGTGGCATTTTATCTAGGGAATGGAGTGATGGATTTGGTTCAAAAAGTGACAGGATGGTTGCCTGAGAATATAAATAATGGTAGGTTGGATAATGTTTTCTGGGTGATTAGTGTTTTAGGAGCTTTAAACTTTGTGTATTATGTTGTATGTGCTTCATTGTACGAGTATAAAAATGTTGACAAGGAAGTGAATGATTCTATCGACAAAGTAGATGGAAATTAGTCCAAATGAAATAGTCCTGGATTCATTATGTAAACATTGAACAACCAATGAATCTCAATTCATGGCTTTTTTCAAGATAAAAAGATAAAATTGCTGACATTGGTTTTTTTGGCTTTTTATTTGTTGACTTTTAGCAAGAGACAAACATGTTTATTTTCCCATTAGTTAATGTACAGGCCAATGCATTTAGGGTAACAGTACATTTTGTTCCCCCCAAAAAGAGACAAATCATCCTTTTTGTTCCCCGGTATATTTGGGAGGTGAATTTTTGAGCAAAAGTTTTTGGAGATTAACTGTTTATATTATCACATCCCGCTGTCTGTTTGTTTTTTGTGCAAAGCTACGAGTAGAGATAGCACATCGGCAAGTAGACAGGCAAAAACAATAAGTAGGGATCTACATAGTTAATTGAAACCACACATGTATCATATTATTATTTATTTTGTTAGAAAGGACATTTTAAATCATAAAGAGAAATCGTGTTTTAATAAATGGAAGGAGAGACATTTTTAACCCAAAAATTGATATTAAGGGCAATTGCGGACCAGTAGGTGGAGGAGGGAAATTTTACCAATTTCGACACATTAGTCTAATTTTTTACCCTTTTTCGATGAACTTGTGATTAGGGATTGAATCTGAATTTAAAGTTTATGTATTCAGAATATTAGTCCTTAATACATTATTGTGTTCTAATTTAATAATTTGTACATATTCAATGAATTTCTCAAAACAAATATCAAATGTGAATCAAAATTATTAAATTCAACTAAATTCGTAATGGGTTCATACATAAATACAATAATACACAACTCCCGTCTCCCAATCTGTTTCTGATTTTTGATATCAAAATCATCCCACGGTAACATTATTGAAACATAACTGTATTTCTCATTAGCAAAAGAAAAGAAAACATAAGGTATTTTATTCTTTACACATTTTTAAGTCGGTGCATATGAATGTCAATATGACAAGTTTTTAGGGGTAAATTGTAAAATCCTGTCAAGAAAAAAAAGAGTTGAATTTCCCTCCTTTTTTGAATTAACTGTCAACACAAAGCACTTGGTCAATTTGGATTCAAGAATCAAGAACTCACTTTTCTATACTAACACTCTCTTCTCAATCCCATTAATTTCAATTTTTATCTTACTTTGTTGAATTCTCATTTTCCATTAGCTCTGTTCTTGTTACATTCACAATCAGTTTAAGTCTTTTTTCCATTGATAATTCCTCTTCCACTTTGTTCTTAGTTGAAGAAACAGGTTGATTCACAAATTTGATATAATGCAAGAAGATTCTGTATATGATCCACTAGTTTTCGGTCATCGTGATTACATCTATTGCAGTAATTGTGAAGCTCGAATTGCACGTGTCCAGTATTACATTCCTAATGTAAGGATCATTTTGTACTGTTGCCTTTTCTTGACTTATGAACAGAACAACTTATTATGTTCATTTTCTTGTCCAGGTGCAGGACTTAGATTATGGAGGCTACTTTAAGAGAGTGTAAGTCTCATGATTTCGATAATTCGGAAATATTGTGATTTGATTAAGCTTTTTTCTGAGTTCTGTGTATTATATTATATTCAGGTTTAATGTTGTTATACTAGACCAACCGAAATTTCATCAACAAGAAGATGGAAATACCCTAACCACACTCAATATTTACTGTACCCAATGTAATATGCTGCTCGGGTGGAGACTTGTAAGATACTAATATTAAAGATCATTTCGTTTCATGATAACAAGACTATTTTGTTGCTCTTTTGTTTAATCTCTTAAATACAGAGTTTATGATTTTATTTCAGAGGGAAGCCACCCTACCGTCCAAGTATTTCATAAGAGGAAGATTCTTTATGAGATTGTAAGTTTCTAATTATGAATTTGCAAATTGAGATTGTCTGTATATATATTTTGTGGAAGGTGTTAATTCAAGTGTGGCAGGGATATGCTCATGTACAAGAGTCGTGTAACGTTGCATGATTCTCTCTTTGGAGGTGCAAATCGACAGGATCATGTTCAAGATGTAGGCGCTAATGTTGATCAAGATGCAGGTGCTAATGCTGATCAAGATAGAGATGCAAAGAAGAGAATCATGATCAAGATGAAACCGCTAATGAACAAGGTCCTAATGAATAATGATCAAGATGGATCGCGGCCAATGAAACGAATGAAGATGTAGATCAACAGGCTGACAGAAATGCTGACATTGATAGCCTACTCAAGCTGATCAAAATGCAGAAAGATACACATTGTACTTTACAAAATGCTAATTCATATTTGTGTGATATTCTTTTTTCCCTTTCTGATTTTGGAATTACAGTACATATTATTATTTCAGGTTGGAACAAAGCAATTGACACCGAACTTTTTACATGTTTGAGCTCTATATGCTGCTTTGTTTTTCTTTTAATTTCTGGAAGCAAGTCAACTGTCAGAGATGTATTTCCTTAACTGCAAATGCTATACAGTCTCATATTTTTTCTCTAAGCTAAAGTTGCTTGACAGTAAATGCTAGTGAAGTTTGGTTTGTTTTTCTATAAAAATGTGAAATGACTAGTGTACTCTTCCAGTATGTGGTGAAGTTAGATTTTTACAGATATGTATGATAAATTGATAATTATGTATGTATAGATTTGATTTTTACTATGATCTAGTTCAGAGAACGACTGGTTGACAGACAATATCAATGATGGAAGAATGGATACCGTCTTCTGGCTCTGTTGTTTCTTGGGATCAGCAAAATTCATGTGTTACCTTGCGTTTACCTCCTTCCACAAGTATAAGAATATAGATGAAAACCAACCGATGCACCCAGTGAATGGCAAATTCTACTTACAAGTACAATTCAAGAAGCATGGATACCATAAGTTCCGCAAGAGATTTCCAGGCTACTTACCGTTTGGAATAAAGATACAAGTTTCCATGAATGAGATATTGCTCTTTACATGAAAGGAAAAAAAAAGGAATCCTTTAAAGTGGATGTAAAAGAATTACATATAAAAAGGATAAATCGTGTGTCTATGGAGAAATGTATCAGTTAGCAGCTTTTCTAGCAAAGCAGTGTCAATCTAGTCTACGCCAGGAACATGTTAGGTGGTGAATAAAAGAATTTGAAAGAGACCAAGTTTAGTCAATACGAATCAGGACTCGGGAGGCCCATTGTGGTGGAACTTTGTACAGTCATAAGGTCCAAGTTGATTGTTTTTCTTCTTCACCTGTAAGTCAAAGAAAAATAACAGTTTAATAAAACTAATATGAAATCGGCAGAACCAGTCAATAGAAATATATGCAACAGCACGCTATTTTCCACTTCATTATTCATCACTTTTTGATCAAGAATTCTAGTTAAAGAGAAAAGTGAGGTAAAAACCCCTCTAAGAAAGTACCAAAATGTATCTATATGGAACAAAATGGTACACTAAGCTCCAGTTAAGCATGAGGTTTTAGGAAGGACCAAACCACTGGGTATATTGTAAGTGGCCTAACCAAAAGTGAATCAATTCTCACTTAATTGGTAGCGTATGAGCATCGAACCTGTTTAACTATAATAAGTAAGAATAAAGTTGAATGCACTCTCATTCTAACTTGTGACATACATTTAGATATGACATAGGCTACCTCAAACAAGAAAAGAAGCATGTATAGATAGTGACATACCGGAGACCATGGGCTTGGCTCAGGCAAGGATTTCTCTTGGGGTGAGTTTTGTACAGCACCACCTTTCATCGTTAATATATCCTGTAGAATCAGAACACAAGAGTCAGTTACTTGATTACTTTTCTGCTAAATCATGCTCCAACAATAGATTTAGAGCAGTAGAGCTTAACACTCAATCCAAGTTTGTCTCACTGCCTAACCTAAGGTTCAGAACACAACATTTAAGGATATCAAGATTGTTCTGGACCTATTACTGGATGATAGCTTCTATCATTTTACTAAAGGAAATATGATGAACAGCTAATATCTCATCAGTTTTTCCTTTAATACCACCTGCTATAAGTGAAGGATTTGGATAAAGGTGTGGAAGCAAACTGCTCTTGAGGAAACTGAAGATGAGTGGATCTAATAAAATATGCTTCAAAGTTAATTATGTTTGGCTTCAATAGATCACAGTATACAGCTCATTTTCCAAAAAGAAATTACCTCCCCTGCAGCTTCCATTGCTGCCAACCATTCATCAGAAAATGGAACTGCATCCCGTGGTGGTAATATCAAAAGATTGCCTTTCTTCAGACAGCTCTCAGCATTCTTGCTGCCATCAACAAAAGGCATTTTAGCAATTCTCCAAAAGAATTGAAATTTGAGAAGGCTAAGTCCACAAAAAATGAAGGAGTTCTTTGGAATGAGAAAAGTTTATGCAATACTTACACTGGAAAAATGGTGTCGTCATTTGTGCATTGCTCGGTATCTTCCAGACCATGGCAAAGTTCATTTTGAGAACTCTCACTTCCACTAAGTTTACCAGTTTCAGATTCCTTCACCAGAATATCTTTATTCAGCATGTCATCTACCTTCCTTCTGATTCTTGATGAGGTCTGATCCCCTGCAACAAGTTCTATGCAATCAGTTGGCACACTTGCTGTATGGTTTTTACTTGTCCCCTCAGATAAATCAGATTCCAAAGATAAAGATTCAATTGCCGCCGGATATGATAGTCTACCCGCAACACAGTGGATAGCATCCAGATCATCAGCATCATCATCACTCCCATGAATCAGAGGTGACTCCTGGTTCAGAAAACTTGGGCTTTCTAATCCACCTGCATCAACACTTTTTCGTGCTGGAAAAGCTTCTCGAAAATTCTCAAAGGCATTGCTGCTTTCACATTCTTCCACCACAGTGATAGGGGCTTTTTTAGGCAATAACTGAGCATCATTGTTATATGTCTCCACGTGTGCATCTTCTATCTGTAAGATATTTGTTAGGGCAGTTGTTGTCTTTCCAACTTCATTTGCTTGTCTTGCATCTCTGACTTTTGGAGGAGTATGAAGACTCTCTAATACAACCTTATGACACCCCGGTTCTGTTGGACTGGAAGGGATGAGGTCTGGATGGCTGCACATGTGTGACTCTTCAACTTTCAGGCTTTCCGGAGAGAGCATACCAAGCTTCAACGTGATGGTCTGATTACCATCATTAGGCTTGTTTGATGAATCTTGAATTTCAAATTCATCCATTCCTTTGGAGAGGAGCACACCGTTGATCAATTTGTTACCTTCACCCACTGGACCAAGTATACCAGATCCAATTACATTTTGTGTTCCCCTGGAAGATGAACCAAATTCCATAGAGGAAGTTAAATTGCCCTCACTGTGACAGTTCAATGAATTGTGTATTTCAGTTTCATCCACCAATTCCAACACAGACTCTATAATTGGTTTCCTACATTCACCAATCGAACCAAGTACATCTGATACCATTTTGTCTCTTGTTCTACTAGACGATAAACAAAATTCCAGACAGGTAGTTGAATTTGCAAGAATCTTATCACGATTGACTTCTTCATCTGTTGAATGATTGCAATTTCCGGGAAGAGTAATTTTGACAAGACTAGAACACATGATTTCCGCAGGATCTTCTCCAACCACTGTCTGTTCGCTTGTTACATCAAACCTATCAAAACCACTTTCATCTGATCGATATGGAAGAGCGGATAAACCAGTTTCATCAATCTGTCCATCTTGGCTTTGATCTATGCAAACATGTTTACTAAGGGACTGACCACTTGAATGCAATATGCTACCAGCCTGGGACTTATGTTCTGAGTACATTGAAAGCCCACCAGGATTAGTCTCGCAATTTTCATCAGATAATGTTTCCCTTGAGATATCTGCTACTAAACCTCCTGTTTGTGCTCTATCTGTGATCTGCTTGCTGGTAAAAGCTTCTTTCAGATTATGAGAATCTTCATGCTGATATGCAACTTCTGACATTTCCATCTTTACTTCACTAAAGTCTGAACCAGTGAGATTCAAGGGCTCACAGTTCCCACCTCCAATATTCCTTAGTTCTCTCTGGACTTTGCTCAAATTGCTCTTAATCTTCATAATGTACTTATCATTATCAAAGATCCTGTCATCTTCAACTGCAAAGGACTTGACCTTTTCAAACTCTCCACCAGTTATATTATTGCAGCCGCCCATGTGACCTTCCTTCATCACCTCCCCGCTTAAATTGATCATATTCACATACTGCGAGTTACAAATCAAACCATCAATTACTGAAGAAATGTCAGATTCTTCTGCTTCCTTTGGATTGCCATCTTCCAGTCTATGTAGAACTAGAGATTGTGAATTGTAGCTAGCTTGTGGAAACTGAGAATCTCTAAAATTTGATCCAGCAGAGCATTTATTTTCTATAAAACCAGGGATGAAGTTCATGAGATCACCATTTTTGTTTATATATTCAAGTTTTCCTGTTTGTGGTGGATGTTGATTGCCGTTCATCAGCAATTCTGTATCTTGAAGCTTCTTTTCTTCATACTTGATGTGATCCAATGCTTGCTCATCAAAATTACCAACATGATCTCTGAAATTATCACTGACTAGATCAAGCTTTTTAATAACACTACTTGGAATATACACTCTTTCTACACTGTTTCCTTCCAAGACTGTTTTAATTACTTTGAAGGATGCTGTTGAGCTTTCCGATTCAGATCCTAGTCCCTTACAGTTTAGATTAGCTACATCGTCCTTGCTTTCTTGCCGTGCTAGTGTCTCTGGTGGCCTCAGATCACCAGACCTTTGCAATGGGCACATGCTAGACTCGACTTTCAACAAGCAATGTGTATCTGAAGCTTTTGTCTGCAATCACCATATTGGTTATCATGTCTTTAAAATGAAATGCTACAGCATGAGCATCATGCAGCCTATGCACCTAAAACAAAAGAACCTAATGCTTAGCCAGAATAGTGCTGGATGCTGGTAATACCTGACGAAAAAATCCCAAGGAAGGTGAGGGCCTCCGCAAACCCGATGGTTTCATGGCTTGTGCGGGCAGGTATGGCATACTGCTAACAGCAGTACGAGTGCTGTGAGGAAGAGGAAGTACAAATGGTGCACATGCATCATGACTTTCAGATGAATGTGCTCGGGTAGATGGAAGTGTGGCATCTGGATTCATCTCCACACCAGTATTGCTAGAATTATCAACTGGAGAAGATTCAATTGATGCCTGTAATTTTGATGCTAATTTCTCCTGCACAAATTAGAATTCAGCAAAAAGGAGGGGCTTTGGTATTGTTGGTTTACCAAATATATTGAATGTAAGCTAAATTCTTTAGTGTTGTGTCCTTGAAATTTGAACAGTTCTTAATCACACCGAATTTTTCTAAAATATTGAGCTCAAAACTTGAACTAACCCTTATGTCATTTCTCCTTAAAATTAAAATACATGATAAAAATTTATCTTTGAAATTTAAAAG